TCCCTGAATGTTGCAGCCCTGTTCTTTCCTTCCAAGATTGGCCAGAAATTTAATTCTCAAGCTTCAGGATAGCAATCTCTCTCTCTCTCTCTCTCTCTCTCTATATATATATATATTGTGTGTGTGTGTGTGTGTGTGTGTGTGTGTGCGTGTGTGTGTGTATGGATGGCTCAATAGGAGGTGAGTGTAAATCTCTCTCAGATAATCTAAATGAGTCCTATGATATGCTGAGAGCCAAGCTACACAGCTCAAGAACCAATGAATGCTGTTCTAGATGGAATAAGAGAAACAACAAACACTTCACATATTCCAAAACACCTGCCACTTTTGTCCAGTACCTGATGTGGTTTCCAGTTTTTTTAATATTCTGGCTAATTTACTCTTAATGGGATAATAGTAACAGTTTTATGTGGGCAAAAGTACTGTGTAGAATCCAAAATGACAGGCTGGTGCAAAGAATAATGTATACCTGTGGAGAGGTGTACCTGACATGGATATAACAGATGCATCTTGAATCTTCAACTTGGCAGCTCAGAGAGAGAAAATTTTTGATGGCTATTTGTAACTAAGAACCATATCCCCCTTGAAAGTTAATATGGATTAATACAATACGTTAATTTAAAGTACAATTTTTGAATAGCCTCATGTGTAAACAAGCCCATAGAGACAATTTCCCATGTGGCTGTTACCGTATAAGTGATTGTAGAATCTATTGAGAATGATCTGAGCAAGGCTTTGACTAGCCAAAATGTCAATGTTCCTTTTTTCCCCCATCTATATTACTGATCAACTTTGATTAGGAATAACTGAATTTTGTGGTCTGATTCTTGTTGTTAGGAATAACTATTAGATGTTAACATTATTATTTATTAATAAACATCTTGCTCTTCCATAACAATATTTGTTCATATCAGAGTGGTTTATGTATCAAGATACAGGAACTGAAGCACATAAGTTTAAATACAAATGACAAATCTGATTGACTAAAGTTAAATACAAACACAGTTGTCCTTTTGAAAAAAATTGGTACATCTGAAAAGCAGGCTCTCTGTACTTTTTGTGATATATATGAATGTAGGTGTTTAACTTCAGGCATAGACATATGAAAATGTGGGCCTACATTACTCCCTCAAGGTGATACACTGGGCCAAAGGCAGGATGAAGGACAGAGTCCGGGTTTCTTCAGTTCCTGTCTTAGCTAGCCACGAGTCTTTTACCTTCCCAATATAATATATTAATACATCTGAAGTTTTTTTGCATTGCTTTTGTATTATATTTGCTGGGCCAAAATCAGATTCTGGTCTGAGCACAATTCCACTGACTTCCATCATTTGATTTAAATTTAACCTGAAGGCCATAGATTTGCATTAATTTAAGCCTGGTCTGAAACTGACCCATGCTCATCCTGATAGTATCTTAATCTCCTTCTGGTTGCTAATGAGACCATTTAGTACTCCTGACACAAATAAAAGGAAATGAACCCATAAAAAGTGCAGTCAATCCTTTATTACAATTTCAATCTACAAAAGCAAGGATCTTCAGTCTACAAAATTACATTCACTATGTCTCAGTACAACAAAGGTCTCTGACCAACAAATACATTTTCATACATTTGTTTCCCTAAAGGCAGCTAGTGAGGTTAAGGAAGGACATTTTTGCTTTGAAACTATTCCTTTTCTTTCTGAACCTATCTTTACTTAAAAATTAGAACCACAGTCTAAATTTTAAAAAATATAAAATTAAATCTTATTATCCTAAAATGTTTTTAGGATAAAAGCTAATCACAGATTGCAAACCACTGGTCACTTTACTCTAAATTTATGTTTAATAATTTTAGGTATCTTCAGTATAATGTGTAGTTGATCCAAAGTCTCTTAATTTCAAAGCACTTTTGATTGGGCTCTAAGCAGCAGATACTCTGTATGTTAGATTAATTCAGCAAGTAAACAGCATGGTGTGTTGATGAGCTAAATTACAAGACACCCAAACTTTGTGACACTAGGGACATGTTGCCAGTTTAGCAGAAGTCTGAGGCTGTTCTTTGGGTCCCATCTCACAAGACTTTGAAGAAATGATGGTGCTTAGCACCTTGCAGGAATGGGCCCCTTAATTTAATAGAAATGCTACAAAAATAGAGCAGGAAGGAATATCGCTAGTCCGTCAAGTCCAACCTTCTGCTCAGCATAGATGTATTTGTGTCTCAAGTACCGGAGACAAATCTAACTTGCACTTATAAACCTCTGATGATGCAGATCCTCCAACTCTCTAGGTAATCTGTTTCAGTGCTTAACCTTTTCATAGTTAGAAAGTCCTTCATAATATCCAGCCTAAATTTCCTCTATTGTCTCATTACTTCTTGTCCTGTCCCCTGTGGACATGACAAATAGTTGAATAGCAACCATCCTCTTTTTATATTTTAAGATGGTTAGAAATTTCCCCTCAGTCTTTTTTCTTCTCCAGACTAAATATTCCTAATCTTTCCAACACATTTTTGTATGCCAGATGTTTTCTAGATATTTAATTATTTTTGCTTCTTTCCTTTGGATTCTTTACCACAGATGAAGGCCACAGATGCTCAATGAGAAGAGCCAGTGGCTTTGCAATTACCTCAGCCAAGTCCTTGAATATGCTAAGAGATATCTCATTCAATCACTAGAACTAGGGCGCACCCTCTGAAATTAGTAGGTGACCAGTTTAAAACTAGCAATAGAAATTACTTTTTTATGGACTTGTGGAATTCATTGCCACAGGACATAGAGGAGGCAGATAGCATAGCCAGGTTCAAAAAGGGACTGGATGAATTAATGGATGATAGTTCTTTTAATATCTATGGAACAGAATGGCTGTTGTTTCTTCAGAATGGAGATGTTTCTTCTGGCATCTCAAAACGCAATAAATGGTGGATGTCAGGGAGCAAATTGAATAGAGTGGTGGTTTTCAACCCTTTTTCATTTGTGGATCCCTAAAAAATATTGAATGGAGGTGCAGACTCCTTTGGAAGTTTCTAATGGAGGTGCGGACCACTTTGAATTGTAAATGTGGATATTGACATACTTTTGATTGATCTTAGCCATCTTTTGTGGACCCCTTAGACCAGTGGTTGCCAACCAGTGGATCTTGGAGCCTCTTGAGGTAGATCGTGGAGCCTCTTGGAGTTGATCTGAGGCTGTGGTGGGGGGCTGAGTGCCCGCATGTGTGCATGCATGTGCTCCAGCCCAGCACATCAGTCCGTGGGGGAGGGAAGGGCTGGGGACTAGATCGAGGCCCCCATGGTGACGGACAGTGCCACAGAGGGGTAAGTTGAGTGGGGCCCTGGCCGAGTGGGACTTACCTGCTGGGGAGGTACACCCCCAAATAATTTTTTCTTCCTCTGCCTCAATCTGTCCTGACCCCCTTTCCTCCCCACAGACTTAGCTGCTGGGCAGGGAGAGGGTAGTGCTGGCGCACAGTAGATCTTGGGTTGCTTTTAAATGCCAGTGGTGATCTCCTATTTAAAAAAGTTTGGAGACCACTGCCTTAGACATAGTGTCTGGACTCCCACGCATCTGTGGACCACAGGGTGAAAACCACTGAAACAGGATTGATGACTCTAGAGCTATCCTGCCTGATGTTCTCCCACTTCTGACACTGTCAGAGAGGCCTATCTGATGCGCATGGAGTCATGAGCATGAGCCCACATAGGAACTGCTGCCCCCTCGCCCCTGTTGTGAGAGGGGGTCATCGCTAATTGTGTACCAACTGATTCCAGGGGACAACAGAAGGGAAAGCAGGGCTGGGAGTGGAGGGCGAAGGTTAATAACAAGTGCTCCAAGGACCACTCGATCAGCATTTCCCAGCCAGCGTGCCACGGCACAAAAGCGCAAAGTCGGAAACGAACAGGTGCACCGTGGATTTTTGCCCCTGTGATGAGCTACGACAGGTAGGAGGATGGGGAAGGCCTTAACAGGTGAGCCATAGGCAATGTTTTATTAATGTAAGTGTGCCTGAGGCTGGGAAAGGTTGGGGAACACTGCCTGGCACTAGCTGGCCCGTTGCTCTGTCCCAGCGTGGCACCTTGCCTGTCCTTATGTCACCTGCCCCCGGCCAGCTTGCCTAAGGACTCTCTGCCCACTTCCAGGGGCCACTTCTCCGCTGCCAGCTGCTGGAGGAAGGGACACTGGAGGGAGGAAGGGGGGAAAAGGGGCCCTGAAGACTGCTGCCGTCCTCAGCGGGCGCACGAGCCGCGCTCCGCACCCAGGACTGCCAAAGCCACTGCCCAGCGCCCGGCTCTGAGGGGAGCGGGGTGTGTGGGGGAGACGCCGCCTCCGCCTCCGCCTGCGCCTCCCCCTGCCCTGCGGCGGCTGCGTCTCGGGGGCTGGGGGAGGAAGCCCGGGGAAGCCGGGCCGAGCAGCGCCCGTGGCCGAGGCCGGTGAGGCAGTGTCGAGAGGGAAGGGGCCGGGGCCAGGGAAGGGGCCGGGGCCGG